GGGAATGGAATTAATATGAGGGAATGAAAAAATGGAAACAAAGTCTTTGTAAATAGGGAGGGATGGAGGGGTTGAAAGGAGGGCAGGGGAAGGGGGAAAAATAAGAACTGCGTGATTATGTTAGGATGCAAATTTCCAATGATGAATGTCATTATATTGTATGCCTAAAATGTACCAATAAAATATAATAAAAAATTCCTTCTGCAGTGCATTTATTTAGTAGCAAATTGTACAGGTGTTTGAATATAAGGACTCAGACCCTTTAAAAGAGGTGTGCCTGTATGATTCCCATGTTTGTCCTAATTTTTTCTTCTAATTAGAAAACATGAAACTTTACCAGCTACAAGCCCTGTTTAACCAATTGTTCTTTGTCTACAGGTTGTTGTTACCCTAGCTCTCTTCAAAACATGCTGATGTGCACATTTTTCACCCAGAAACAATACAAAAACTAGAGGCCCAGTGTTAGGAGGCATACAGGTGTGACCCTAAAAAAGTTATTCAGTAATTCACTTAAGACATATAAAAACAAGGTAAGAAAGCTTAGCCTACAAATTTATACAAAATACAATTACAGGGCTGGGGATTTAGCTCAGTCGTTCTGCCGCCTGCCTCACAAGTATTCAATCCCTGGTACCAAAAAAAAAAAAATACAATTACATATACTAAGACTATAATTTTATTTTTTTAAAAAATACCCATGAACAATTCCTGAAACAGAAGAATTAAAAATTGAAGTACTCATAGTAGGTTGGGAGAATTCTAAGATTTTTAAAATTGATTTTATGTTATTTTTACTTTTTTAAAAGGTATATGCCATGAAACCAATTTCCACATATCTAAACCATCTATTTTGTATAGAGTTCAGTTACTCCTTTTATCTTCAGCATGTTTTTCTTGTTACAAATAGACTCACATACATACTTTTGCTAGGTGAATTTTCATTTTTTATAAAAGTTACAAAACAAATGTGTCAAACAGTGGTTGATAAGTCACAAAAAGCAGCAGTGGAACCAAGAATCAAATCCAGGGCTACTATTTTATCCCTCAAGTGGAGAGTGGGGGCAGGACTAGGGGGGTGAGAGGGATCCACAGAACGTGCCCTGGGGTCATCATGATTACATATATGTTTTTCATGTCAAAACTTTCTTTGTTCTAAAATGTGAAATTGTTTCCTACTTCCTTGAATTTTTAAGACATTATTTGGCATCAAATGGGTTAAAAAAGTGTGACAGGTCTAGAAAGAATACCAGGAAAAATAGTCATCCCCCTGTATCTGTGGGGATTGGTTCCAGGACCTCCCACAGATACCAAAGTCCGCAGATGCTCAAGTCCCTTATATAAAATGGCATAATATTTGCATATTACCTACACACATTCTCCCATATACTTTAATCTCTAGATTACTTATAATAACTAATTGAATGTAAATGCTATAAACTGTTGTTATACCCTATTTTTTAAGGAAATAATGACAAGAAAAGTGTACTTGTGCAGTAGAAAAGCAGCTATTTTTCCTTCAAATATTTTGATCCACTGGTGTTTGAATGCACAGATACAAAACTCAGAACTTATGGAATTGTCTTGGGTTGCATACAAACTATATAATATAGTTCAAGTGTATAAGTAATAAAATTTCACTTATTTTTGATATTTTTATTATAACATTAAAATGAATTAACAACCCGTGGGCTAAAGGCTGGACATGCTTGAACATGTCTGGGTTGGACATGCTTGGCTTGCCTGGGCTCCATTGAATGCTTTCAGTAAAGAATCCTCTTGGAAAAAAAAAAAAAGAAATTGAAAAAATAAAAAATAAAAAAAAGAATCATCTTGGGCCATATATGAAATATATAATGCAGTTAATGTATATATGCATCAAAACTTCCTGGGCCAGGGATTTAGGTCAGTGTTTCTGCCACCTGCCTGGCAAGCACAAGGTCCCAAGTTCGATCACTGGTACAAAAAAAACACAAACTTCCTTTATTTTCTAATATTTTATTGTAACACATGTGTGCAACCCATGGGCCTAAGACAGAATCTTCCATCCAAGCCTGTCCTCATGGCAATATTTGAATGTGAATAGCTCGCAAACAAAATGGAGTTTCTTGTTCTGAAACTCCTTGAAAGACATAGTCAGCAAACTGCCACAACAACCTAAAATATTTTGATGAGGTGGAGGGTAGAAAAAAGAATTATATTAATCAGGGTATGCAAACTGCTATAACATACACCCTTTAAACCATTTATTGTTCATGTCAATACAGTGTGATTTGGTGAGAGGTTGGTTTCATGAAATCATTCTGGAACCCAGGAAACATTATCTCCAATAAGTGGCTTCTAAAGTCTCTGCTGACCTGAAGAAAGATTGAAGAATGTCAGGTGTAAAGGTAGCGAATATCTCTACTCACATTCTACTGACCCAAACTCAATAAGATAGGTGAGTTAATTAGATATCTTGTAGGCAGTTAGACAGGGCCATCCCATGAGGAGCCAACATGGAGGACAGTCAAAGGAGCCAACATGTAGGGCAATCAAGACACATTTACTGAAGGCCATCGTAAAAGGAGAGAAACTACCACACCCACGTAGGATAAATAACAGTGATTAATATTATAAATAGGTATCAATCACCTGGGCAGGAGACAAAG